CACCCCCAGCCAGGTGGGACCCTGGTGGCTCTGAGCTCCAGGTGGGATTCCTGGTTGGAAGCAGAGAATGCTGGGGGGGGACTTTTGGGGTGCTGCTCCCTAGAGCACTGCATGGAGCCTGACTCTCGCCTCTCTGCTGCAGGATGCCCGCTGACATAGGCAGCTGGTCTGCCCGAACCACGAGTTGAACCTGAGCTGCCAGCCTCGGGGCCGCCGGTCGGCCCTGCTGGGGCCCTGGTCCTGTTCCAGCTTTGCTTTGAGTTTGTTTGGGTTTGTTTTGAGAGCTGGCTCTGGAGGATGGGGCTGCTGGCCTTGTCCGTGACAGCTGCCCTGTCCCTGGCCAGCCCTTGGGGACTGTTCTGGTTTTTGGGAACGGAGGTTTAGCCGCCCAGTTTGGCTTCTAAGTTGGTTTGCGTTGCTCTGCTGCAGTGGAGGGGCCCAGGGCAGCTCCTGGGAGAAGAAGCAGCTGCTTGGAGAGACCGCCAGCGATGGCTGGGGAGGTCGAGGGGACGCTGGGGCTGCCTGGGCTCACCAGGGGACCGTCTCTCCTCCGCTGGCATGCCTGGTTCCTGAGGAACAGCCTCAGGTGAGAACAAGGGCACACACAGCTGGTGGAGCTGCTTTTTAATGAGGGGAGTGTCTGTGGGCTCTGGGAGGCACAGGGCTGTTTGCAGGTGGGGAAGCAGCCGTGGGGTTACCGGCTGTCAATGAATGATTCCTTGGGACCGGGAGGTCCGGCCGCATGCTGTTCACTTGGTATTAAAGTAGCCTGGAGAGCACAGGCCGTGTCATGTCGTCTTTCGCTCACGCATCCTCAGCTCCTTGCCTGTCCAGCACCATCCTGGTGCTCTCCCCCAATATGAGGAAGCCTGTTTTCTCCAGCAGCAGATGGGGTTGGACTTCAGTCCATCCTGTAGCTCTGGCACCCAGAGCTTTGTGTCCCCAGCTTCTCACCGGAGTCTTTACAGGTGCCTTTCGGTGTGCCCCACGCTCCTCCGAGCACCTCTTGATGAGCTCCTAGAAGTGTTTGAGTGTCTTTGGATGCACCTCTGGGCCATCATAGCACCTTTCTGCTCTTCTCCGAGCCCTCCGAGCACCTTTCAGCATGCCCGGTGGTCTGCAAGTGGTTCCTGATGAGCACCGTGGGCTTCCGAGTGTGTTTCAGGGCTCTAGCCCCTTCTCCTGTGCAAAAGATCCGGGTGCTTTGCTGTTAGCCCTCGGTGGCCTCCAAGGGCCTTATGGTGCTCACCAGGGTCCCCAGGGCATTTTGGTGCCCCTAAGGGGACTCCATGTGTCTTTCCATGCTGCCCAGGTGCCTTGTGCACCACACCAGGGGACTCCGAAGTGCCTTCCTGTGTCCTCCAAAGGCCGTTCAGTCAGCCAGCGCCTTCTGGAGCGCCCAGCAGCCTCCCAGAGCATTAGCACGTGGGGCTCCGAGTCCGTCTGGTGTGCCTGGGGTGGCCCCACGCGCCTACCTCTGCTTCCCAGAGCTCTGCCGGTACCTGCTGATACGCATCTGGACCCTCCAGCTGCCTTGGGCAGCACCCAAGTGACAGCTCCGTTCCTTTTGGACGTGCCCAAGGAGAATCCTCCAGGAGCCTGGTGGTGCACCCTCGGATGCATCCTTCCCAGCGTGTACCAGGACCTTCGCATCGCTGGCTGTGCATCTGAGAGAGTCTCCGACTGGATTTTGGTGTCTTCAAAGTGCCTCTCACTGCACCACAGGGGCTCCAAGGTGCCTTTGCTTGCGACACCCTCCTCTGGGACATCTGCGGGCCATTCTGTACCCCTCAGCGGTCTACCGGTGCCTTGTGAGGCACCCCAAAGGCCCCGAGGGCTGTGCTGGCCCTGGGGATGTGTCCCAGCCTAGGTGTGGCTCAGGACCACGTGGGAGGCTGATGGCCCAGGAGCAGGGCTGGAGCAAGGGTCACCCCAGCTCCCAGAGCAGACACGTCTTTATTGGGACAGTCTAAGAATGAGGGACTGTGGTAGTTTTGACCCTGGCTAGTGGCCAAAATACAACCACCGCTCGCTCACCCTCCCCACCACCCCATGACCCAGGCTCAGCCCATTCCTGGATAACGATCCCAGAGCAGGGAGTGTCCTGAAACCACAATCCTGGATCAGAGGTAAGAGGCTGAGTGTCCAAGAGACCGAGATGACCCGGAGAGAGGGGCAACCCAGAGGGAGACCACCCAGAACAAGAGAGAGAACTTTCAGACAGAGCCTCACCTCTCCCCTGGCCATGCCGTGCATGGGATGGAACAGACCATGGGCCAGTCTGGGTCTCAGTCCTAAACCAGAGGTGGAATCCTGGGCTGGTCACTGGGGCTGTGCTCCCTCCCAGCTCCTCCTGCCCCTGCAGACACGGGCACAGCAGAGAAGCTGGAAAGTCCTTGACTGTCCTGGCAGCAGCTCTGCCCATCAGTGTGTGATCAGCTTCTCCTCAGCACAAACCCAAACAGCCTCACACCAGCTGCTGGGAAGAGAGTGAACTCTGTCCCAGCCCCAGGACAGAGACACAAGCCCAGCCTTGGTCACCACCAAGGGAATCCCCCTTCCTGGGAAGCCCACCCATCTGCGTCCATGGTGAGCAGCACCCACCGCCTACAGATACACCACAGCGTCACAGCTGTCTTAAGAAGTATCGACAGAAACATCATTGCTTCGTCTTCCTCACGGGCAGAGGCTGGACATCCAGCTGGGCGATGGTGCTGGTGAAGGGGTAGTGCTGCCTGGTCCTCCTGCTGATGGCCTCCACCTGGAGCACAAGCCACCAAGAGCCGAGGAGCACCAGCATGGCCCAGTGGATTCCCTCATAGTGCAGCTCCTGGAAAAACAGCGGAGGGGAGCTGCTGAGGGTGGGAATGGGGGCCAGGAGCAGCCCCGGACCTCAGGGGTCACGGGGCTCTGGCCAGGGGAAATCCCAGTGGCAGCCAGTGTGGAGGTAGCTGTGGGGGTAGAGACTCCACAGGGCAAACCAGAGCTGAGAGTGGAGGAAGAAGGAGCCCCACAGGGTAGGGAAATGGGCAGAGCTGATATCCAAGAGGACTAACCCCAAGGGAGCCAAGCTACCACAGCTAAGGCTGGAGCATCCTACCTTGAAGAAGTCCATGTGCAGATGGACCAGTACAGGTTATGATGGCGTGGGTGTTGTCACAGGCCTGGCAGGGGTCGGAGGCAATGGAGACCAGGCTGAGCTCTCAGGAAGACAGCAGAACTTGAGCGCCAAGTCCATCCTGTCCTTCCAGGTGTGGCACTGGTGGGCAGTGGAGATCAAGCAAGATGGAAACCAGCACAGTCCCAGCAGGATGATGCTGCCAGGGACACCACTGCCAGGACTGGGGTGGTACCAGGGACCTGCACTGAGCCTTGAGGCTGGGGAGCACCAGGGGCTGGTGGTCCCGGCCACTCCAGGCATGCTCTGGCCCTACGCCTCAGCTGAGTTCATGGAGTGGGACAGGTCCTGCATGATCTCCTTCACCCTGAGGCTATAGATGTGCAGGTGGGCACCCTGCTGGGGCTCGTACTTGCTGATGGGGTTGTTGGATGCCTCCCTGGGCTAAGAGGGAAAGCTGAGCTCTGCTGGGTCCCTGGGTGTCATTCTCCTGCTGCTGCTCTGAGGTGGAGCTGCAGAGATCAGGCTGCTCCTCACATACGTGCCTGTTGAACGACTGCAGGCAGGGCAATGGCCCGGCTTGACTGTTTCTCCCCACCACTGCCCAGCTGGTACCTGGCGGTTGGGAAGCGAAGCCCAGCAGTGGTGGCCACAGGGGTGTTGAAGAGGCAGGTGACACTGCGGGCAGCAGAGTGGTGGCACTGGCACTC